CGAGAACGGGAGCAATAAGGAGAACACGGAGACCCAGAGCGTCCCGCCCAAATCTGGCAAGCACAAGAACAAGGACAAGCGCAAGGATTCCAACCACCATCACCACAACGCCTCGGCCGGCACCACCCCCAAGCTCCCCGAGGTGGTGTACCGAGAGCTGGAGCAGGACACCCCCGACGCCCCACCTCGCCCCACCTCTTACTACAGGTATTGTCCGTGGCCGGGGTGCGAGGAGGCTCCCAGGCAGCTCTAACTCCTGCCCTGGGTCTGGAGGCAGAATTGGCCTCGCTCTGTGCAGGTGGCTTGTCCCTGACTCGTGGAAATGGCCTCTGTCTGCCTCTGCCGAGTCCCGTGGAGCCGGCCGTCCTGTGGTTTCAGGCCCTCAGAGCTCTGTGTGGCGTCGTGCCCCGGTTTTGAGGGGTCTGTGCGCCTGCAGAGCTCTTGGTTGCTGCTGAGGTCATTGCTGGCAGTGTGATTGCTGTGCTCTTTCCTTGCTGGGAGAGCACTTATAATCATAACTGTGTCCTCCCTTCCACGCTGCTCTGCAGAGGGATATGCTGGGATAGCTCTAAAGCCCCCCAGCACCAAGGTGTACCTGTAAGATATGTCTGTTTGCCAGCTTAATTCTCTTTTGTTGTCCTATGGTTTTCCAAAAAATGGTGAGTGCAGTGGCCCAAAACAATACTTCAAGCAGGATGTTAATACTGAACCAAAGTAATGCTTGTGTGGCCACCCGGGTCACCCTCGTCGCCACACGCCCTGAGAATCCGGCACCATGTTCCAGGGACGGGATAATGATGTTATTTTGTGTCACAGTGTTAGAAAAGAAAGCTGCCCCTGAGGTGTCTGCGATGGCGGGGGGGTGGTTGCCATTGGTTGCTGGAGCAGCAGCCTCAGGGTTCCAGCTCTTTTCTCTCTAAGTAACATCCCCTCACCTGCAACTCGGAATGAAAGAGAAGAGGGCGCAGCCTCTCTTGCCAGAATTAACTAAACATGGTGCCTCTGTTGGTTGCTGTTGAGACTTGGGTATGAGGCCGCTGTCTCCAGGGTGTGTAGCACCTGCTTGGTGGCTCATGCAGGCTCCTGTCTTGCCTGATGAGTCCCCAGGGCCCGTACCTCGCGCATTAGACGAGTGTTATTTTGTGTGTGTCGTGCCCAATGCGCTGTTGTGACACTGCACTGCTCAGGGTGCAGCAGTACCTCCCACTTCTGCACATTCCTGCCTTGTCCCTGTTTTTTTTATTTTGATGTATGGCTTGGCTGGAGCGTTT